ATTAAAATGCATTTTGACTGAATGTTTGATTCACTCATTAGAGTTCGCACTGGACATATCTGTCTCGTTCTTGTGTTTTAAAAATATATGGGAATGATGAAATGATAGTGAGGGTGTAATACGATAGATGTCTGTAAAATACATTTCAGGCTTGTAGATCAATATCTGGTGTGTCCACCATGTTGGGCAATACATGCAGGACGCCTTGATGGCGTACTGTTGATCAACTTGCGCGTGGTTGCCCTTGGTATTGCCCGCCATTCCGCCTGAAGATCTACCTCAAGCTGGGCCACGTTGGCAGATGCTGGGTCTGGTGTCCACTCCGACTGTGAACATCCCACAGATGCTCTATTGGGGACGTGTTAGGGGACTTCGCTGGCCCGTCCAATGTCAATATGTCTTCTCGTCGGAGATAATCGGTGACGACCTGGACACGATGTGGTCGGGCATGCTCATCTTTCAATTAAAAATTACTCCTGATAACTCTGGCGAATGGAACGACAGGTCGCACAATTTCGTCAACAAATGGCTGGCCGGTCAAATGTCCATTCACATCATTGCACCTGTTATGTGTGATACCGCCTCACACCATGACACTGCCGCCCTCATAACCATCATGGTCAAGAATTATTGCCCTGGCATACAACTCGCCGTTTCGTCGCCAACAACGTTTTCTGCCATCTGTGAATCCAAGGCAAAAGCTTGATTCGTCTGTAAACATGGTTTAACGTCAGTGGCGCACAGCCCGTCCCTTCTGAGGCCTGACCCACCCAAATCTTTGCCGCCTATGGTAAGCTGTGAAGCCTTATTTTCAGGTGGGCTGCAAAGAGCCGGTTTTTAACAGTAGATATTTGTACAGAATTCTCTAATGATAACAGGAGCAGATTTGAATCTACTGCGTAGTGCAAATAATGTACTGCGTAGTGCAGTTAATGTAAATGAGACAACCTCGTCTTTTTGTCGTTTTTAGGCCTGTCGTGCCGAGGTCTCATCGCAACCCCACCCGTATGACGGTACCTGCACACAGTCGTCGAGAAATTACACTTTCTGGTTTGCCAAATAATTGTGCAACTTGGGATACTGCGGTCCCCAATCTCTATCCCACAATTCGCCATTTTGTTTCAGTCTCGGAGTCATTTTTTATTGCCCAATTGCATAAGTGATTGTGAGTTACATCACAGGAGCGCTCGCGTTGGCTTCTGTGTGCACGGGCATCACGTGCTGGTCATGCATGATGTGAAATTTCATTGTGATTTCATTGTGTCCAGATGGAACTCTACGGTATTGCAAATGTACGATAACTACATTCAAATCATTAGTTCCCTTAGTTTTTATCGGTAGTATGTATTTGTAATGCCAATAGTTTCTTCAATAAATGCTTCGAAATGTATTTGGCTGCTTAATTATTTATGGAGAAACAAGTCTTTATCTCTTAACAAAACATCTTATGAAACGTCGCGTGATCGGTGTTTGCGGCAACAGACATGAGCAGTGTGTTTGGGCGAGGTATTTGTCAGAGGAAAGAGTACAGTCATGGGATCTTTCAGAAATGCTTTACCCAGACGCATGACCTAGATCCATTCACACGGCGGTCATTGACAACGTCAGTGCTGTGCACTAATGCTGTGTCAGTCGAGAGCCTGTACATAACGACTCGGCAAATATATCCGGTTTCAATAACAAACAGCCCTGTCATGTTTCCAAACAATTTGTCCCCTTACTATAAGTCGGACGATAACTTATGATAGTGTGCAAGGTTCTTTTACGATACAAAAATAGACGACAATAGAAAAACGATATTTGGATAGGAAATTGAGATGAGAACCTACATTCTGATTTTCATATGCATTGTCATGCATGTTACACTCTAAAATTGGCGTTATGGACATCTGTCTGGCTATGTCGATCGTTAAATAATGTCACTGTGTTCCAGGCTAAACCTCAGGAGACTTGTGAAGACAGCATTCATTTACTATTCTGTATGTCAACACTCGCGCTGTTCAGTTTTGTGTTTCTAGGCCAACGCCATGGATGATAATGCTTTTATCTTCCACGCAACCATGTAGACTACAGATATATTCCAAGAGCAATGCAATGAACAAACATCTTCGTGATGTCCTGCAGCTAAAGTCGATAATCATTTACAAACAGTAAAACCTGTTCAAACATAAAAGAAAATCATTACTGTTGCCAGGTCACGGAACAAAACAAAACTATTAAAAAAGTGGATATTTACAATAATACGTAAGACCATTGCTGACCTGGGTTTCAGTTCCACTGAAAGGACGATTCGGTTATAAGGATTTCGTAATTTTATAAATATTGCTGGTATCATGCATATTCTGAGCTGGGAGGGACAGTTGGTCATTAAGGATTTCTCTCTGCTAAAGTTACAGTAGACGTTTATAACGAACACGCTTATAACGAACTGACGGATATAACGAACTGTTTTTTTGGTCCCGTCGATTTGCTGTATATATGCTGTACATATGCTTATAACGAACTACGGTTATAACGAACTAAATTTAGTGGTCCCTTTGAGTTCGTTATAACCGTAGGTTACTGTTTTAGATTTACAATTGTGTTTTATAAATATGTACATTAAGAATTTCATTACACTTATAGTCAATGTTTTATTCCCCATGATATTAATAGTTACAGGATATATGCAAAATATATTATACTGTTTGTTTCTTTGTTTCGTTGTTTATTTTTTAACGCTGCACTCGGCAATATTCCAGCCATATGACGGCGGTCTGTAAATAATAAAGTCTGGACCAGACAATCCAGTGATTGACATCATGAGCATCAATGCACGTGGTTAGCGAGCCTGACCACCCGATCCCGTTAGTCGCCTCTTACGACAAGCATAGTCACCTTTTACGGCAAACACTGGTTGTTGAAGACCTATTTTACCCCGAATCTTCACGGGTCAAAATATGTGGTATTTATACATAACTGTATTTTGTATGTAATTGCATGCATGTATGTACATGTACACGTATATATGTATATACATTTTAATGTGACGTCTACATGATATACGGTTTTTCCATTGGGCGAGATGTCGGTCGCAAGGTCCCACGTATATACAGTTAGGCCCTCACTCATAACAGTTCATACACCAATCCACTCACATTCTTAAATATAAAGTATACTGGTATCTAAATGTCTCGCACTCCGACTCCGACACAGCTAATTTGCAACGAATTACCGAAATCACTCATTAATCAGTCTCGTTAATTCGACACAGTGATCAGCCAACTCCGTGGTCATCTGCCCGCGAGGGTAACTTCTCAGTCTGCCTACATCTCATTCTGCCTACACTTTTTTTGTAGGCAGACTGAGTATAAATTAGTAATTAGTGTAGGCAGACTGAGAGTAGTGAAATGCTTTCTTACCTCGTGAAAAATGGAATGGTCCACAATGTAACAGCGAGAGAAAAGGAAGATGATGCTTTACATACATGTGGTATCAACAGTAGATTAAAAAACGACATCGGCCGCACGGCCTTTCAGACACAAAATAATTTAAAGGTTAATGTGAGACATGCCAATGTTTCATTGTTTGTTTTGGTTAGTTATCAAAATACTTTATAAAGTTTCAAGGCCTTCTCAGAAAGTTATGTCAACTGTATTCTGGAAAGCAAAGGATGTGACCCTTGTTGAAAGTCAAAAGACGATAACCGGTGCCTTCTATGCTGAATTGATTCATCGCCTGAGAAATTCTATCAAAGAAAATCGGCGAGGAATGCTGACTGCCGACCTCTCGACTTTAAAAGGTTGCTGTGCGACAATGTTGGTTTGAAGAGCTACCTCACCCTCCATACTCGCCAGACCTGGCACCAAGTGATTTCCACCTGTTTCCTAAACTAAAAGAACACCTTCGTGGAAAGCGCTGTGACGACAACGATGATCTTAAAGCTGCCGTGATTAGGTTTTTCAGGGTGACTTCAGAAAACTTGTATTGAAAAGCAGGAGATCATGTTTAAAAAATGAAATTAAAAACACTTTCACAATTGTTGGTTTTGTTTGTAAAGCCTAGAATCTTTTGGCCAGCTCTCGAAGCTGACGATCTGGACACGATTATTGTCTGGCAATGTCATCTTGCACTTCAAAATTTCAGCCGATAATTCTAGCGAATAATACAAGACGCAATATAGTGTGATACCGCCATGACAATGTGAATGACCCCTCCATATTGATCACGGTCAAGAATTGTTGCCCTGGCGTGGCGCTCGGCCACTTTGCCGCCAATGGGAAGCTGTTTGGGCCACACCCTTCACAGGGCGCCTTGTGGTCTGCACAGAGCGTTTTTGACGGTTGGCGTTGATATCGCCTTCCAGGTATTGTACGGAATTCTCCATTGAAAATAGGAGCAGATTTGAATCTATTGCGTAATGCAATTAATAAAATGAAACGATCTTGTCTTGGTGTCGTATTTTAGGCCTGCCGCGCCCAACTCTTAATGCAACGCCACCTGATTGACGGTACTTGTCACACAGTCGAAGATTGCTTTGCTGAACTTTCGGTAACTTGGGATATTCACACACAGACGCACACACAGACACACAGAACCACACACACACACACACACACACACACACACACACACACACACACACACACACACACCACTGTCGTACCCATGATTCCCCATGTTGTCTGTTCACTTTTAAGCGTGTGCTTAGCCCAACTGCATTAGTGATTGTGAGTTCCCCTTGGGATGCACACACTTTAGCTGTTCGTGCATGATGCAAAAAAAAGAATTCATTGTGATTACATGTTGCGTTCAGATGCAACGCCACGGTATTGTAAATGTACACCTCAACGATAGATACATTCAAATAATTAGTTCCCTTATTTTTTTGTCAGTAGAATACTTTCATATCTCCAAGTCCAAGATCACCTGAATATTCATGCCAATAATATTTAACCTGTTGTCATAGCAATCACGCAGCTGATGGATTCAATCAATGGCGCTTTGGTATTGTATTATAACCGGCCCGACCGGTGGCATAGCTATAAAACGTCAGCCCCTCCCAGCCCTTCCTATTTCTTCCAGGGCAGCGAGCGTCAGGTCTAGTCTCAGGTCAGTTTTACTTTGCCGTTTATTACTTACACAAACCTATATAATTAAATGTCATGATCATTTGTGTGATGATAAATGCCATCCAAACTTATGTTTGACTTATTCCTTTAACAATGTGTGTTAAGCTTATTATTGTGATCACACGCTGACTACCTTTCAAATGTAATCGATTATGCATGATATGTATTCAAGAAACTATCACTTTGCTATAGTACGGTATTTAATGCACCAAACGTCGTCAAGTAGTTCTGTGAAATTTGAATTTAGACCCGTGAAGATCCTGGTTAGAATTTGTCTTCAGCAACCCATGCTTGTCGTAAGAGGCGACTTAGGAGAACGGGTGGTCAGGCTCGCTGATTTGAGTCTATCGATGCACATATCAATCATAGGATTGTCTGGTCCAGACTCGATTTTTTACACACCGCCGTCATGTAGCTTGAATATTATTTAGTGCGGCGTTAAACAACAAACAAACAAGAAAAGAGAATAAATGTGACTATAAGGAAACTTCAGTCTCACGACTAGTATTTCTGTCAGTTCTTGATTATTTGTATGATTAATAATTTTAAAAAATACAAGGACCATAGTAACACGTTCAATATGTGTCCGAGAATAATGACAACCGCGATGGATGTACACACGACATTACAGGTATACAGTTGCATTTTTAATGCATATTTGTATTTATATTGGTTTTCAAATTATCTTGGCAGCAAATGCCCAAAGCACATGTATTAAAACACCTAAAGAGCATAGATCCTTTTCAATGTAACGAGACCGCCTCCGTGGTCTTGTGGTAGAGCGTCCGCTCGGAGAGCGAAAGGTCCGGGGTTCGAACCCCGGCCGCGTCATACAAAAAGACGTTAAAAGATGGTACTTGTTGTTACCCTGTCTGGCGCTCGGCATTAAGGGGCTAAAACAAGGACTGGTCGGCTCGGAGTCAGTATACTGTGTCTGAGTGGGGTATTCATGTTAAACTGCGGCATGGTATCTCAGTGAGCTAGCACTATAAATCGGCATCAGTCCGGACTAGTACAAGCAGCCACACAAACACACACACGTACATGTACGTCGCTATATAAGTGCAATAATCTTGGACGCGACGTTAAACCCCATTTCACCTCACCTTCAATGTGACGTGAAAAGAAATGAAAGCTCTTAAAATCCTTTGTAGCATTGCAAGCGTGATAACTTTCTCGTAACGATTGTGCACTTCATGCAATACCCTGAAAGACACTTGGTGCGAATTAGGCAACAACTTGGGCAGGAAAAAACCCGAAATGTGATCTATTGAGAAATGTATTGTGAATGGTTAATCGTAGCGCACATGAAACGACAATAAGTCCTTAAGTCCACTCGCACTTATGTTGTAGAGGAATTATGAGTTGGGATAAAAGCTATTTTTTATCCACAAGAAACATCAAATTGTAATAATTGTTGGAATTTATCCGTCATCTTCAAATGACTGACAACTTGCCTTTTTACTTCCTACACGATATAACTCCCGACATGATATAACACTTAAGTATGGCTAATGACTGAACATGGCCGATTTTGAAAACATCTAACTTTGAGGAAATCGGTGACCAAAGGGGATATTTACGCTAGTTTTGTCCTGATTTTATCAACATCTTCTAAGAAAATCTTGGATCAAAGACTTGATCATATTAAAATATTAGAAAGACCTCAAATTTAGGCCTTTGGAAACATTTCAGTCTAATCGTTACATTTAGTGTTTTTATAAGTCCAAAATACAGAAGTGTTGAAATTAACAAAGTCTAATTGTAATTTATATGAATACACTGGATAACTTCCAAAACGATTTCCAAAACGTTTTACTCATTGCTTAAGTCATGCCGATCCTCTGGACGAAAATGATTCCTTATCATACATAATGACAATTCCTTATTGACCTTGCTTCAGACAGAATGGTACCGAAGTTTGCCTTAGTGTTGGTCCTGCTGCCCCTGGCTTTGGCCTGGCCGATGGAGGTGAAGGACGATGAGAAGGAGATGATGATGAAGTACATGATGGCAACAGAGGGCAAAGAAGACAACAAGGACATGATGATGAAGTACATGATGGCAACAGAGGGCAAAGAAGACAACAAGGACATGATGATGAAGTACATGATGGCAACAGAGGGCAAAGAAGACAACAAGGACATGATGATGAAGTACATGATGAAGAAGATGGCGGAGGAGAAGAAGGAGCACTATGCCGGGGATGCTGATGGATGTAAGGCTGATGACGATGCTGAGTGGAAGGTCTGGGTCAAGAAACAGCAGGAGGAGAAGGCCGAGAAGATGAAGGAGGAGTATAAGAAGTTTAAGGAGTTCATGGCTCACAAGAAGATGATGGAGGAGAAGAAGATGGAGGAGAAGAAGGAACAGATGTATGAGATGTGGCAGAAGCAGAAGGAGATGAAGGAGAGGGAGGAGAAGGAAGGGGAGTTCAAGGAGATGATCGAGTCCTTCCAGAGCCAGAAACACAAGTTCGCCTTCCAGCTGACTCATGAGTTCCTCCAACTGTGCCAATGCAATGAGGTCTCAGAGCAGATGGAAAAGTAAGTAGACATGTACAGTGAAAATGCGATCTCCTCTGCTCCGTTGAACGTTAATCTCTCCTCCGTAGTTTGAGACAAGCGGGGTGGAGATAAATTACAATGGCGACTTTAAAAGCTCGCCGAAACCAAACAGTTACGATGTTGATGATATTCGAGTATGATTACACTATCACATATTCAATCAAAATTTCATGAGTGAGTGAGTGTAGATTTCATGCTCAGTAGTTAAGATGGGAATCGAACCGTGACTTCAGTGTGATTTGAGAACTCGTGGGGGTGGAGGTAGGGGGTGAATGTGGAGATGGTAGCATTGCAGTTAGTTTGCATTAAATTTGTTTAAACCTATGAATCAAGTCACCGAACGTGACCTAACGACCAATTGTAGTCAACATATATAACACTATATGTGGCTATTTTTCAAAACAATTATGGTGCCCCCTACGTTATATTGCATAACTATTGCTAAAAGCGGCGTAAAGCCATACTCACTCACCCACTTTAATATTACCACAGGCTTTCGATGTTCACCATCCGTAACGGCACTGACCTGATGGACAACATGACTTCAAGCAACGTGAGCATGTCAATGGAAACTGGCGACATGGCCATGCTGGCCCAGAAGATGTCCAAGATGTCTGCCGAGGAGAAGAAGAAGGTGTTCATGGCCGGCCTCATCAAGTCCATGTGTAATGGCGCTCAGACCTTCATCAGGCACGCCAAGCAGTTTGAGGAGATGTACGTGGTCAAATACACTGACGACAAGGAACCGACTACAACCAAGGATCCTTTCACCTCAGATTAGTAAGTTTGCTTCTTTGTTTGCTTGTTGTGACACGGAATCTCCACGGGTTAGTAAGTAAAAGTACCTGTAACGGATAAGAAGCATTTGAACCTTTTCTTCTGTGAAATGTAAACGGTTTCGTCTTTATTATGCTCAACAAAGTCAATAGGTAAACTTTGAGTCACGGTATGAGAGGTGTATTTTGGGGCTCACAAGAATTACTAAACGACCCACGAGAGGGTATTTCCTCATGAAGTTCGAAACATCGGGGTTTTTTTTATACATTTTAGTGATACTTATGTATTGGTCATGTCAGAAGTCCAACCTTACAAGTGTAAGTTTACGAAAGAAAGGCTAGCTGTCAGCTACTTGAACGTGTGAATATAATTTTCATTCCAATATTTCAAAGTTTTTCAAGTTTTTCTATGAAACCTCGTCCGTTCTGAAATGAAGAAAAAGATGGTAATCTGTTCGAAATGTTGACAAGCAATTTCTTTTGGGGGATTAATGAGAGCCTCAAGTAGAGTGGTCTTGTTAAACTATGTAACAAATACACATTTAAAATTATTCTTTAAAAAAAAACCTCCTGATAGATCAATTTGTGATCCAGAACTGGCATCCACAAACATCCCTTGGTTATTTGCAGAATATAATGACATCATCAGTTATCATGACAATCACAATCATCACAATCAAATGACATCACTTATCTCTCTGCCTCTGAGGCTCCAAGACCAAACCTGTGGTAAAGCCATTGGGAAAAATGTCATGGTAGGTCATGGACATAGATTTGTCACACAATTCTCCGAAATAATACTGTTGAACCATAGCCGTCAATAAAATGCCATGCAAGATGCGAAAAGACAGAGTAAAGTAAAACATTTCTTCTCTTTTTGCAGGTACCACTTCGAGCACCGCAAAGTGAGATTATAATTTTGCGTTATGTCTGCTGTAAATAAATCCAGTGTTTTTCTTCGACATAACTGCTGTTCGTGTAAACGTTTTACATCCTCTGCATTGTCCTGTGACTATTTCCTAAATGGACACCTCATCTGTCAGGATCCGCTGGTCGTGGATTCGAAATCCCAGATTTCCCGATTAGCACCCTTGGTCTCGAGGCACCCGTCTTGTACTTTTTTTTCAAAATGGTATACGTCAACTACCTGAGTCACGTTCGGCGCCACATTAAACTGTCATGCTTTAAGAGACTGATGTTCTAACCGGTGATACACATAATGCGATTACTAACTGTCACCAATGTAAGTTTTCTACACTGTTCATATCTTCTTTGCATTTATTAAGTTTTTAATAGGACTTTGTACATATAACTACTCTGCTGAATAAAAAGATTTGTTAATAATATCAGGTATCATCACTGTCTTAATTCACAATTGGATGACTCCTTCTCTACTCATTTGCTATTAAATGACACACTTTCAGGACCATCTTCCCGAGGCAAGAGAGTTAACTGACTATAAAAAACCAGTTTCCACCCATGCCGAACTAGACTGGTATTACTGAGTTACATTTGGCTGGGCTAACGAGTCTATTCATCATCCAATCAAAATCGCGCAACGAAATCGAAATCCGGTTCGTAAACTGCCGTGCTGATTTCGGTCGATTGCAGGAGCTGCAAAGCATGTGCACCTCAAGCTCGTTGTCAACAGATGTTTTCCAAATTTTCATGATTTTAATCAAGATGTTCACGTGATTTGATGCATTTCGCGATATAAGACCTGTTTTATCACAATATAGAGATCTTGATTATAGATCAGGTCATCTTGGCTGGGCGCCGCCATTTTGTTTGAATCAAATGCAAGTGATACGAGAGGTGGAATCTGATTGGTCCATAGGGGAGGTTTAGAAGGGACATAATTCGTAATAACAACTGGTGGCACTACGATCGGGCCCAGTAATTCCAGCCTCGTTCGGCAAGGGTGGAAACTAGACTTGTATAGTCAGTTAACTCTCTTGCCTCGGGAAGATGTTTCGGGACATGCTCAGTAATCAATTCACATAAGTTTCACTGATATGTTGTATTTTCGCCAAATGAAATCAGTTCCGGCGGATAATCACCACCGTTAAAGTTTCATATCTAATTGAAAAGTGTTCATTTATTACGTAAGATATTTGGTTTCAGAAGCTATAATAATCCTTAAATAAAATAACCAGAGGTGAGGTGAAATTGGGTTTACCGTCACACTTATAAAGCGACGTGCATGTGTGTGGCTGCTTGTACTGGTCCGGACTGATGCTGATTAAAAGTGCTAGCTCACTGAGATACCATGCCGCAGTTGAACATGAGTACCCCACTCAGACACAGTATCCTGCCTCCGACCAGTTCTTGTTTTAGCCCCTTAATGACGAGCACCAGACATGGTCTGACACTCTATCACTGAGGGTCGGTCGGGTAGCCTAGTGGTTAAAGCGTTCGCTCGTCACGCTGAAGACCTGGGTTCGAATCCCGACATTGGTACAATGTGTGAAGCCCATTTCTGGTGTCCCCCGCCGTGATATTGCTGGAATATTGCTAAAAGCAGCGTAAAACCATACTCACTCACTCACTATCACTGGATTGTCGAGTCGGAACTTCGATTGTGTACAGGCCGGCTTCGTATTGCAAGAGTATGCGGCCTTAGCAACAAACACTTACTATTTTTACCTACCGTATTCGACGTAATAAACGCCCCGCTCTAATAAGCGCCCACGGCGACATTTGCTGAGATATTGGCTAGTGAACAATCCCAATTAGCACCCCTTCCGATTGATCAATGTACCCAAGACTTATTCATTCGCGTATAATACGTACTCGTGTGTTATATGCACCCTTAATTATGGGCATTAAATTCTGGAAAAATATATCTGTTGCACATAAACATTTCAGGCTGTCAGCTTAAACCACGACATTTATCTTTCAACTCTGTTTTTTTTCACCAAAATAATATTCTAATAAGAGCCCCTATTTCTAATTTTGAGCGCCCTGGGCGTTTATTACGTCAAATACGGTATATTGTGTAAGTGGTGGGTGCCATTGGTAGAACACCTGGTGTCACTAGTTTTCAGTGATCCATTGATATCATTTTCCATCATAGTTTTGCCATTTTACTTCCAATGGAATGTGTTTCGGCACATAGTTGAGACTGGTTACTCTCTGGAGTTGAGACCGCCTCCGTGGTCTAGTGGTAGAGCGTCCGCCCGGGGAGCGGAAGGTCCGGGGTTCGATCCCCGGCCGCGTCATACCAAAAGACGTTAAAAGATAGTACTTGTTGTTACCCTGTCTGGCGCTCGGCATTAAGGGGCTAAAACAAGGACTGGTTGGCTCGGAGTCAGTATACTGTGTCTGAGTGGGGTATTCATGTTAAACTGCGGCATGGTATCTCAGTGGGCTAGCACTATAAATCGGCATCAGTCCGGTCTGGTACAAGCAGCACACACACACGTACATGTACGTCGCTATATAAGTGCAATAATCTTGGACGCGACGTTAAACCCAATTTCACCTCACCTTCACCTCACCTCTGGAGTTGACGTCGTATATATTTAAGACAATACGTTGAAACATCATGCATCCAGTTAAAAATTAGCATCGATATCAAATTAAAATGTGTAAAGCGTGTTCTGTGAAATTTCAATATGTATTCAAACAATGGGATCATCTGGTCTTTGTAAATATTGTGAACCTAAGTTTGAACAATATTACTATTCACTTTCAAAACACCTTTAGAAACAGATCGATATTGATGATGATTCAGACACGCTTACATGTGGGGGCTCCGATATACTTGACTATCTTTGTCCCAGTAAGATCCATTAGTCTAGGGCATCTTCTGGGTGCGATCAAACACGATGGTATAGAGCATACATGACGTTTGTGTACTGTTAATGGATTCCTTGACGACTGACTTGGGTCAATATTGGTTCCCAACGGCTTCGATTGTCTGCGGTTCAGAAATACATTACCAAAATCAATCTCTTGGATGAGGCAACTTACTTATCAGGTGTGTGTGTGTGGGGGGGGGGGGGGGGGGGGGGGGGGGGTTCAAAACGTGTGCCACATAGAAAAAATAAGTTAGCCGTCTGAAATAACATCCTATTTTGTTGTGTTTGTGTACCCTTGTCCATTTTATGTATTTTATTACCAAGCACATATTTACAATGCTAGGCTCAACCTTTGAGGCAATCCCAGTATAAGATGCATGATGCATATATTTATTTCAGAGAATAATTCTCAAACACATGCAAGAAAACAAATTATGTATAATTATGTAAAATGCGGGATTCAACTGTGTATTCACCGAAGGAGAATCCTGTGGAACACTTAGTCTTTTAATTAGGGAACTTACACATATCCACCAGCTCTGAGTGGGGTATGTTGTGCCCTTGTCCGGCCCTGACGCCCTCTGCGTGGACTTTATAAAAGCGGCAAACCCCTCTCTATATTCATAAGAAATCTCTTCTGAAGGACATCGCCGGACCAACAATGACGAGCAATTCAACAGCCGACCCGTTTTGTTTGATTTGTAAACACTCCATTTATTTAGACCAAGTTTCGCGACCAGCCTGTAGACAGATGTGTCTAATGTCTATATTTGGCAGAAGGTTGGTAGGTAGGTTGACAACTCATACAGGGGATTAGCCATTCGGAATCTTTACTTTCGGATATATGCAAACTCCTCTATGCATAAACACTTTGCCCACACGCGAAGCAGTAGATTTCTCTGTTTGTTTGTTTGTTTGTTTGTTTGTTTGTTTGTTTGTTTGTTTGTTCAACAATTTCAAGCTATATGAAGGGGGTCTGTAAAGAATCGAATCTGGACCAGACAACTCAGTGATTGACATCATGAGAATCGATCTACGCAATTGGGATCGATGACATGTATCAACCAAGTCAGCGAGCCTGAGCACCCGATCCCGTTAGTCGCCTCTTACGACAAACATGGGTAACTGGAGATCAATTCCTACCCGAATCTTCACGGGTGAGGGGTGTTGTCACAAGCGGGGATAGTCTCTGCAAATATGTGATGTTAGAATTCAATTATCATTCCCCTGGATTCGTGTAGGCGCAGCTACGGTTCAATATATAGGTCGTCTGCACCCTTTGCCGACACATATACTTAGAGTTCAAAATTGGGTCAACAATTTGTGCAAACCGGTTATATTTACCTGTTCTCCTTTCCATAGTTCATTTGCGGGCAACCTAGTACTGTGACAGGCTAGCGAGGTGCGATGAGGCATCAGTCCATTCAATCCATTCAACAAATTGAGTTTGGTTGTTTCCATTTGATTTTTGGGACGCATACACATATAGTCAAACATTTGTAATAAAATGAAGAAATTTAGATTTGAGGTAGATGATACGCCGGAGTTGCGCCCCTTCTTTTTGAGTGTTGCTGCTTTCTTTCCCAAGCGCAAGACAGACATTTTTTTTCAATTGTAAACGAATCCGTATTCGCAGTTGATTTAACCATTCCATCTTTTTAAGTATATTTTCGGAAATTCGCTTTATTGGTAATGTCGAACCCCGGATAACTCGAACAATTTTACAGGTCTCGACGATTTCGACCCAAGTTTCCCCTTTTACATTGGTTAATACGTTCCAAGTACAGACATGGAACTCCTTTGGATCGATCATTTGGGTGCGTAAAGATAAATTGAAATGGCCATCACTGTCCCCGTTGCAGTAGGATATATTAGTCATTACACAAGAGAACTGCGCCAAGGCGTATTTACCCTTCTATTCTTCAAGAAACGTAATATGGTTTTTCGGTGCTGCAGAACCAACTACTGAAAGTTGGGGCGGTCGGGTAGCCCAGTGGTTAAAGCGTTCGCTCGTCACGCAGAAGACCCGGGTTCGATTCCCGACATGGGTACAATGTGTGAAGCCCATTTCTGGTGTCCCCCGCCGTGATATTGCTGGAATATTGCTAAAAGCGGCGTAAAACCCCACTCACTCACTCACTCACTCAAGAAACGTCAAGGGTACAATGTACATGCATCTAAAAACAAGCCGTTTTACCAACATATCTGGCCCACCAGGAGAAAAGGTACCTTAGCGGTGCTAGGATACAATTGTGCTGTGATGTCATAAAGCCGTTTGACGATAACTTACTTTCAGAAAAATCACCATGTATACGGAATGTCCAAACATATTGTATTTTTCTCTCGTTAGTTCGTAATGTAAAAAACAGTCATTATTTCATAACATTTCAGCATACATGTCTACTTTCAACTGAGCAGAGATTGTATCTAAAAACTGTCATTATTACATAGCCAGTTATAAGTCGGCAAACGAGTCCACATGTTTGATGCCATGTATTTCTAATAAATATGAATTGAAGCTTGTATTTTTGTATTCCTAAGAT